TATATCGATAATCTGATATATGGTCTAATGATTTAAAGGAAAGCCCGTCGGCCCACCATCCTGTAGCAGGTCAATATCAATATCTGCAACCAACGTGTCAACCGGTTCCCACTTGTCTTTCAAAGTATCAATCAGTCAATGCATAATCGAATGCAATAAATCAAAATAAAAGAATCTAAACGATTCATCATGTCAACACATATCAATCAATCTATCAATTTGCAACCAAATCAGAAATCGTACGAAAATTCGGGCAGAATGTGTAACGGGCAGTCGCAGGTCACATTTAACCCAAAAATCTCCAAAAATACAAAATTTCACCAATTAAATGAACAGAATGTGCACAGCAAAACATTCTAAGATATTCTCTATCTGCTCAAAAAAACCCAATTCGACATCAATAATTGCAGTCAAATAAAACTCCGCAGAACCAAAACGAACCGGACAGAAATCCGCCAGAAAATAACGAAAACGTGCAAATAATCACGTCTACAACATACCAAAATTACGCGGTGAAATCTTTGCCGTAACCAAACCGGGTACTAATCGCTTACAAAAAACACAAATCTGATAGCACCATTTCGCAAATCTCAAAATTCTCTGAAAACAAGAAAGTAGGGTTCGAATCCTTTTACAGCGAGACAAACAAAATATCAACGAGCAACGAACGCGAAAAATCGCCTCCGCGGACCCCGAAATCGGACTTCTCCTTGCTTTTCCGGCCCCTTTCTCTCTCCTCAAAATATCTGAGTTATAAAAAAGTTTTCTCTCTCCTCAAAACGAGCTCATTGTCTTATTATCATTAGTGGGATCGCCCGTGCCGATCGTCCATCGTCCCGGACGATCAACCAAAATATCGTCCTGGACGACTCCCAGAACTATTCTCAGGACGATATTTTTACAGTGCAGATCCCGGACGATCTCCAATCGCCCGGACGATCCTGGGGAAAAATATCACTCCTTCCTACAGCTTACAGCAACAGCAAAAGAACGAGGTCTACATGACGAACTTACCTTAGTTCCAGGAGATGGTTCAGATTTTTTGATCTGCTTTGGAGCACAGCTTGAGGCTTCGTACGTCTGGAGTAAAACTTTCGAAAGTTCTAATGAGTTGTTGTCATTTTTTTCCGCTTTCTTGGGTTTCAGGTGGATTTTTTGACAGGTGTGGAGGAATGTCAAGTGGTGCTTAGTTCATTTTCCGTCATCTCTCAAGAGGTGTTGGTTCATTTTCCTTATCTTCCTCAAGGGTCCAGTCTCCCCGCTGAAGACTGAGTTTTTGAAAATAGGAATCCGTTCAGCAAAGGGTAACATCTCAATATAGACAAGGTTTTTCTTGGAGTGAGATTGATAACACTTATACTTTTTTGGTAGCAGATAGCCAACAAGATGCAATTGAGTGCTTTGGATCTAATTTTCCTCGCTCCTGTTGATGATATGGAACAAGGTAGTGCATCCAAAGATTTGGTGCAGATTATGATGAGTTTGAAACTCTGAGGGTAAAAGAGGACAAGGTCTTCCATTGGAGTTTTGAAGGCCTAAGGCTATGAAGGTAGTCAGTTTATGAGATACCACTGCAGTTAAAAAGAGCTTCCCCAAATAGGATGGTTGTATGTTTTAGTTGAATAGGAAAAAAGCTCTGTGCCTGAAGCTAGAAGGTGAAATCATTTTTCCTCCCTCTGGCAACCCCATTTTGTTGTGGTGTGTGAACACAGGAGACTCATGGAGATCCATTACCACTCTGGAAGTAGGAGAAAAGGTTTGGTGAAAATAATCTTTGGCATTTATCGGAGGCGAAAAACTCTTTATTTTTCCCCGAATTAATTTTTGATCATGGAATAACCAAGATGGGAACAATGGTGCTAAATCGGATTTATTAAGGAGACAGACTTAGGGGACTCTGTGAACATCATCAGATGAATGGACACAAACCAGCGTGCCCAGAGATATTGGGAATTTTATTGGTTCCCATATATCACTGAATAAGGGTAAAAGGAGTAGCTCATCTCTCACTTTTGTTGGGAATGAGGTTCTTTATGTTTACCAACTCACATGTTTCAACAATGAAAAATTTTATTGTATAATTTATGAAAGTTGTGGATACATTATGTTTTAGGATATCAAAAGATGGGTGTCCTAGTCTATAATGATGAAGCCAAAAAAATAGTGCGATTCCTATTCGGACTAGGATAACAAAGAGGCAACTCCTTTTTAGATTGGTTTGCTTGTGCTTCCCAGGTAGTACAATCCTACTCTCTCCTTCAGCAAGTCCAATATGTCTTCCCCGATCTTCGATCCTGAAATAAGCAATAAGTTAGGTTAAAACACTGCTTGACAATTATGTCATCTGGTAAGTTTTTGTATTGATTCAGGTTGTGGATAATTGTGGTACGTGAGCACATTTTTTATGGTGAGGGATGGGATAAATGATGTCTCCTTGGCCCAGCTTACCGTTGTAAGAAACCCATCAGCTAGTGATGATTTTTTTGTGTTTGCGGCAAGGAAGTATAGTTATGAGATGAGTTGGTGAGTGGGTCATAATGATCTGTGGCTCCTGTATCAGTTGATCCATAATTCCTTTAAATGTTCTGGAAGCACTTTAAACTAATAGGAAATTGGAAGTCTACCTGAGAGGTCAGCGAAGAAAGCAATTTGGTTTTTCAAGAGATACTAGGAGTCATTTCAATTTATCAATATCTCTCTTTGTTGAACTTCTCCAAGGCTGGACTGAGCTTCTAGCTTACTTGTAGTTTGTTGGCAATGTGTGTGCTCCTTGTTCACCCTTTTGATTCCACTCCTTGCTGGGGGTTTTCATGTATCTTCCAGCATGTTTCTTTTGTTGTCTTGAACTTTTTCAATAGCTGCACCAAGTGAAGTCTTTATCTTTGAATTTTTGACGATCTTACCTTTCCTCCGATATTTCTTTGGTTTTCACATTGCTTGAGCTTCAACGACCTTTGGTTCTAACATTACTCCTCGTCGACTTCTTCTGCGCGATGAGAGAAATGGTTCATCGAGTTGATGGGTGTCTCCTCTTTGCCGAGGATCTGACTCTAACTTGGTCAAATTCTGCATTTAGTCCTGCAAGAAAATCATAAACTCTATCTTTTTAATTAAAGTTCTTTAGGATCGCAGCATCTTTCGAACATCTGGTTTCTATGCACCTATAGTGATCAAGTTCTTGCCACAGATTTTGTAGAATGGTGGCATACTCCGTCACGGTCTTACTCCCCTGCTTCGTGCTTCCTACTTTGACTTTAACTTCAAAGATTTGAGCCGCGTCACGAGCTTTGGAGAAAGTTTGTCTGACAGCATCCCATGTGTTCTTTGCAGTTGAAAGGAACATAAATGTATCACTAATTTCAGGAGTCATGGAATTTCACAACCATGACATAATCATGGAGTCTGCTTCATCCCATGCCCCAAATTTGTGATCTCCTTCTTTTGGTCCTCCTCCAAGGAGGTGATGTATTTTACCTTTCCCCTTCAAGTATGTTTTCACAAATTGAGACCACTTCAGGTAGTTCTTACCATTTAGACGATAGGAAGGTTGTATGCTTTGAAGGTCACCTCGTCCTTGGTGCACCATAGAATCCTCATGTTGATCATTGTTTGAAGAAGAGTTAATTTCTGACATTATGATAGTAATTAAGACTATCTATATGACTTTGGTTAGCGATGAAGGCTTCCCGGAATAAATTTCCCATGTCGACGATAAAGGTCGATAATAAGAATTTTCCCTTTTTTTTTTTTTAAACCAAACCGGCCGAGCCTTTAAAAAGACTCGGACTGGACTAGGGCACGGCCAAGCCTCTATATGTCCACCCCCAAGTCGCACGCTAGCTTCCTCCCGCGAGTCGCAGACGTGAATCGAGCTTCCGATCGGCTTCGTCTTCGATCGGAAGAGGAGGGATCGAGCTTCTGGGATGTGCGTTCGAAAGAGTGGGTGGGTCGAGCGGCTGCCTTCGCTCTTTCGTCGGCCTGCGATCGGAAGAGGAGGGATCGAGCTTCTGGGATGTGCGATCGGAAGAGGGGGCGGGTCGAGCATCTGCCTTCGCTCCTTCGTCGGCTTTCCTCTCGGATCAGAATTTCCGATTTGAAGTTCCGATCAAGTCGCTCGTCTTGTTCGGCGTAGACGGATCGGCGGGGATCTATGCCCCGGGCTCTGATACCATGTTAAAACCGGAATTTGAGAGGGAAAAGCTTTAGTTTTATTATGCAATCCACTCCCTATTTATAGATCTATACAAGGTGTATTGATAAGGAAACAAATAACTCTATAATAATGAGAATACAATTATTCCTGAATCAGTAAATTAACTATGGAAGGAATTAATGTGATCCAGGTAGTCTTCCCACGGATTACTGTTCACAGCAGTGGATTTCTGTTGTGATCGTGAGGTTGAGATTTAACAAAAACTTTAAGTATAAATTTGTCTCTTAATAGGACACAATGGAGAAAAATGATTCATGTAGCCGACCTGACATAGTGGGATAAAAGCTTGATGTTGTTATATATCATTTCCATATATCAATTGATTTCCTATAATTTTTCATCTGATTTATTGCGATAAATATTTCAATCTTAATATTTTTTCCTTATTTTATAATAAATGAGCTGATACAAAGTTGTAGAATTGATCTCGAATTTGATTGATTAATCAAGATCAAGCTTAAGCCAGGGGTGACTGGAGTTGGGCTCATTTACACCCTTAATGTCATCTGTTTGTTTTGTTTTAAATTTAAATAAGTTCAACTTGAATAATCATTTTCTGATGTGCAATACACTCAATTCACTGCATTTTCCTCAAAAGTATTAAGATAATGAATTTAGCATTAGTTTAGGATGTGTTAACTGATTCTATATCCTATTTGCTGTGATTTGTAAATGCTACTGATTGTATGGAATGCTGCCTACTTTTAGTGCCATCTGGTATCTATTGTGTGCTATCTTTGCATTGAATGCTACTTCCCTGTAAAAGGTTATAACTGACTACCGAGGCATGCCAACTATCGGCCTCATCATAAATGTAATACATTTTCATAGTTTATTTTGCTATGTACGGCTTGGTTGAGTATAACTTAGTGAAATTTTATGTGAGCACAGGGTGGATTTGATATGATCTGCAGTGGAAGGGACAAGATCGAAACTCCTGAACAGGTACTCGTGTTCATTATATCTGAAATAATTCCTCAAAGAAACAATTTTTACCATGTTTCTTCATTTTATACTAATTGGTTTCTTTCTGGTTTGGATGTGCCAGTTTAAGCAAGCTGAAGAAACTGTCTTGAAACTCAATTTAGATGGCCTTGTTGTTATTGGTGGAGACGATTCAAATACCAATGCATGCCTTCTTGCTGAATACTTCAGGTAAATTAAGATATTTTGTTTTAATGATTCTGATATTTTACTCATGAAAATATTTCTAGTTTATTTATTTTGGATCCCCTTCATTTTTATCAATCCTTCCAGAATTCTAGTGCTTCTTTATCTTGTTTACCAGGTCAAAGAATATAAAAACTCGGGTTATTGGATGCCCAAAAACAATTGATGGTGACCTGAAATGCAAGGAAGTTCCCACAAGTTTTGGGTTTGATACAGCTTGCAAGGTAACCTATTCTCTGTTCTGAGGTAGATTTGGATGTGACAAGCTGCCTTCCTCCATGCTTGCCACTCTTGATTTACTTGTTGAAATAACGGCATGAACCTCAAGCTACATTCTTTCATTATAGGCATGCAAGCTAGACTTATTTTCGCTTAATTTTTTTGTTGAGTAAAAAAAGCTATGCTGTTTGTATTACTGACTTAGTTTGTCTTCTTCTGGCATTTCAGATTTATTCTGAAATGATTGGAAATGTCATGACAGATGCTCGTTCAACTGGAAAGTATTACCATTGTAAGTTTTTGTTTCTTTTTTGACTAATTTTTCCAGTTCATCTGTATCTTTCATCTTTCCTGAAGATCCTGGTGCTGTTTTAGGAGTCATGCAGATTTAACTGGTTCTTAGCATAGGCTTATGTGGCTGCGCAAATTAATGTTTAGTTTGATATAGCTGTTGGCATTTTTATGATGACAATGTGAGGCTGATGTCACTTATTCTAAATGAAGCAGATCTTATTGATTTCGTTATAATTCTCCAGCTACTTCATGCGACAAATTTATGATTTGACACAAAATGAAATACAATCACTTAAATGTGATGCACATAAGCAACCTAGGATAGAAGAGGAACATGTTCAGTATTTTTATGTAAATAGCACCCAAAGCTATGTGATTCTATGCAAACATTAAAATTAAGCTTTTAGACATTGGCTTTGGTAAATAACCATGTTGATCTTCATTGCTGCTTTGACTTGGCTAATTCGGTAATTCCAAATTAATTTTGGAAAAAAATTCCAGAAAAATATGTACGTACAATTTGGCAACTCAGTGGTCTTAAATCTAATTACAGTCATAATCATTCTGCGGCCTTGTATTCAGTTTTGTACTTGTTTTATATATCTTGATGTCTCCTTATTTAATTTTGCTTTTCTATGCAGTTGTGAGACTTATGGGTCGTGCTGCTTCTCACATCACGTTGGAATGTGCTTTGCAAACACATCCCAATATAACAATTATTGGAGAAGAGGTGCTTGATTAGTTCACTTGCATTTTATTTGATATCTCATATCATGATATAATATTCTAGTGGAAGATATTTTAGTCAGTTACTAATCATTAAATTTTCAACGTGATGATTCAATTGATTGTATTTCATTACAATCTTATTGTGATCAGGCTGCATGAACACCATATTATTAGTTGTTTTCAAAGTTTAACCTTTGATTAATGTTTTTAAAAGCACATTGAAACTTGAAGTACTTATTGCTGGTTGCTTCTCCACTTCTGTCAGAAATAAGAATCAAATTTGACATTTATCTACATTAGTCTAATAAGAACCTTCAAAAGTTAGAAAATTAAGGGTAAGATTATAATATGATTTGTTTTGAAAAACTAACAGTAAGATTGAGGCGTTTTTTATATTTAGAAAACAACTTTTTTCTTGGTGGTGGAGGCTGCCACTTTTTCGCTGACATAGATAAGTTTATCTCGTAGAGGAAACAACACTAGCTTCAGCAATGGAAATGGAAGATATTGAGGAAGAAATGTAAGGTCTCAATGGTTGTGTGAGTGATGGTGGCGAGGGTGGTCTGAGATCTATAGCATTATTATGATTTTGAATGGTGTAGAAGAATGGAAAGATCTATATGCTAATTTCTAACTCCAACTCCTTTGGCTGCTCCAGCTTTTGGTGGATTCTCCTCCTCTCACAATGACTTTATTGCCCACACCCATCTCCACCTTCACCACGTACTAAATCTTTGATCTGTTGCAATTGTTGTCGCTTCTAACAAAGAAGAGTCCCCAACATGATCCACTGCTGAATTTAGGACCTGCAAAAGTCGCGCCGTTCATGTTCTCAAAATGTATGTCTTGATGCCTTCTTCAATTCGATCTTGCCCATTGGGACGAAAACCTGAAGGAAACTAAGATTGTTATGTTCTTGCTGATGTTGTCGTTTAAAGTCGTCAGCAATGAGATATAGTGGCTGTGGAGGCATAAGAGAATCAAGTTGGTTATGGTGGTGCTGGCTACAAATTGGGGGAAGGTGGTGGAAGAGAAGAGCGAGCTGAACTAAAATCCGCTTGAGCTGTAGCGCCTATTATATTTTATATTTTTTGTTTTTAAAAATAATAGATGCATAAGAATACCCATCATATTTTTATTTCATGTTAGACAATAAAAAAAATAAAAAAAACATAATAATCATCTCAAACGTCCCCTAAGATACACGGTGAAATTCAGGAAAATATCCAGATAACTGGTTAGCTTCAGTTCATATCCAATGATTCATGATTTAGATTCTTTGCAGTGAGTTTTCTTCTTCTAATGGAACAGCATTGATGAAAACTTACTTGTTCCCTCTCCCAGCAAAATCCTTTTACTTCTTTGGATGTTCAACATAAGTCGTTGCATGTTTATTCTTATAAATCTGAAATCATTGTCGAAGAATGCCTTGGAAACACATAAAATATTTTACATTTCGACTATAATTTGTTGCAGGTTTCAGCCAAGAAGCAAACTCTTAAAAATGTTACAGACTACATTACTGATATAATCTGCAAACGTGCAGAACTTGGTTACAACTATGGTGTCATACTTATTCCCGAAGGCTTAATTGATTTTATCCCTGAGGTGACGTAACCTTCAAATAATATTTTCTTTACTTCCGTATAGTATATGCCCTTATAGCGAGCGTGACATCCTTTGTAACTTCCCAGATTCCTTCGAGTAGGTACATCTCACTGTATATTTTTCTTCTTGTTTGATTTCAGGTTCAGACTCTCATTTCCGAGCTAAATGAAATATTGGCTCATGATGTTGTTGACCAAGATGGGCAGTGGAAAAAGAAGCTCACACAACAGTCTCTTATTCTGTTTGAATTCCTTCCCCAAGCAATCCAGGAACAGCTTCTCTTGGAAAGAGATCCTCATGGCAATGTTCAGGTACCTGGAGCATCCTTGCATTGGCCATTTTATATTTAAAATTTTTCTTCATCTTGCTATAAGTTTTTTTAACTCCCTTGGTTAGGTTGCTAAAATAGAGACTGAAAAAATGTTGATATCAATGGTTGAAACTGAATTGGAGAAACGGAAGTTGGAGCCAAAGTATGCGGGGAATTTTAAAGGGCAGTCCCATTTTTTTGGGTGAGTTCATCTTTTCAGCCTTATTATGTACTTGGTAATTTCATTTTTTATATAGTAGGTGGATGCATTTTATTGCTCTTTTGTTATTGATCGCTAAATCTAAGGTTTCCATGTACATTTGTTTAGATCATCTTTCATCCATTATGTTAGATTCTAAAAACTGTTCATTTTCATCAAGTTGATTTTACTCTCTCTCTCTCTCTCTCTCTCTTTATATATATATATATATACATATATATTAACTGTTATTTTGACATGGTAATAAATTTTACAGCTATGAAGGAAGGTGTGGTTTGCCTACAAATTTTGATTCGACATATTGCTATGCATTGGGTTATGGTAGCCGCCCACGCCAAGCAGCAGCAAAGCCACCGGCCACCTTGCGTTTTCCCCTCTGTTTTCGCCGGCCAGAAAAGCAGCCACCACCGGCCAGCCTCCCGCCGGCCAGCAGCCCGCCACTTCCTGATCTCCTCCCTTACCGCCGGCTTCCCCCATTGACCCGCCCACTGGATTTTCAAATTCCAGGTGATCTAATTGATTGCCTAATTAGTGATTCCTATTTAGGAAATGCAGTCAATGACATTTAGATCTATTTGAAATTTGAATTCTTTGGGGGGAGATTATGGTCTCTTAACTTGGGATTAGGAATTATTTCCTAAAACCGTTACCTCTCTTTGGGAATATTTCCCCTTTATTATCAGCCGAAACATTCAACAGCTCAAGGCATTAATTACTTCCTAAAGCCGACAGTGGAATAAGGCAATATTTCCCTAAATCCTCCCCACGTCCCGCTGTTTTCCCCTTCACTGGATCTGACCAAAATCTGTCCAGATTTCCTTCTTCCCCTCCTAAACTCCCTCTCAATCCCGTCAGCCGTTTCCCGTGACAGCCCCTTCTTGCCGACCTGCAGGGGAAGACTTCTCTAGTCCAGGGCATGTGAAGGAAAATCCACTCAGTTTTCTACTTCTAGTCACGGCTAGACACCTCACTTTTCTCCTCATCCTAACCTACCAAAGCCTGAGAATTTCTCTCAGGATTTCTGTAAAATCTGAAGACCAAACTGCTGCTGTCCAGAGAAATTCTGCATCTTTTCCTGCTGTCCCGCCAGTTGGATCATCCTTGGACAACCGCCATCCTCCACCTCTCCGGCCACCTTTCCTAGAACGACGATCTTAGGCTCCTTCCTCGGAGTGACCTCGTTTTCTAATGTGGAGACTCTTCTTCCGCTAAAGCCTAAACAAGTCGAGCGTATGGACTCCAAAGGTGAAAGTATTCATTATTAAATCGTGGACTCTTGTTACCATCGTAGTTTTACAATTATCTTTGTGTTTCTTGAATTGTTTGGTTGATTGATCTTGCTCTACTTTGCCTAACCAAGTTAAAGACCACGAATTCCAAAGATCAATCTTTTGCTATAAATGATAATTTTACTTTGGGATTATTTGTTTAAATTGCTCTCGTTAATTTCTTAAAGTAACTCTATCGCATGTACGTTTCACATTATATATACATATATATTAACTGTTATTTTGACATGGTAATAAATTTTACAGCTATGAAGGAAGGTGTGGTTTGCCTACAAATTTTGATTCGACATATTGCTATGCATTGGGTTATGGTGCAGGAGCCCTTCTCCAATATGGGAAGACTGGTCTAATATCTTCAGTTAGTGCTTTTATCCCTTTCTTTCGGGTTTTGTTATTTGCACATCTTTTTGTAGTTTTGATTGTACTTTGTAATTTGCCTTACAAGCAGCCTATGCCATGTTTTTTTTTGGGTGCACCACTTGGTAGAGCGTTTAGTCACACTATTTACAATGCCGACTTTTACAAATTTTCTATGCTATATCATTTTTTATAACATCAGTAATGTCAATTATGGACTTGAAGGAATCTTGACATTAGTGGTTTAGGTGGACTTATTGTGTTGTTCTTCGGTTTCAGACTTTTAAAGTTGTAACTAATGTTAAGATATTTAAATATTCTTAAAAGCATTTCACACATCTAAGTCCAAAAAAAGAAAAAGAAAAGATAAAATAAATACTGTCTCAGTGGGCATATTTAATTCCATTAGGGTTATGGATCCTGAACAGCGAGTGATCAGGATAAACTTAACTATAAGTATTAATGATGAGGACATCGACAGACGCTACCGACATGTTTATCGCCGGCGAAACCGCAGATCGACGGCCACGATTCAGCGCCTCTACTTTTGATTGAGATGACATGATGTATTTTATTATTGTCTATTTTGATTTACTGTTTCCCATTTTACCCCTGTGGGGAGTTATATTTCTTTGTAGCCCAGAGGGCAATTTAGTCTTTTTCACTTTTATGAGTCAAGACCTATATATAGTGGTCTCTTGTATCATTTTGTGCTTAATGAATATTATTTTTTTATTAGATTTAAATAAGAATTTGACACTTAACATGTCATAATGGAGAAAAAGGATTCATGTAGCCAACCCCACGTAGTGGGATAAAAGCTTGATGTTGTGGTTGTTGTTGTATTCTTAATTTTCAAATCATTCCTGCCAAGTTTTGCAAAGTTAAATCTATTTCATGGAAATGTATTTAAATAGCTTCTATCATTGTACATTATGTCTACACTTTTTTTTTTCTTCCTTTTAATTTTTGAATATTAATTTATCTACTCATCTTGTGGGTGAATTTTATATCTTTGGATTTGTCCAAACCACTTGGGACTATATATAATTGATGTTCGTCCATTATACTTTTAATTATGATCCTTTCATGATGAATTATAGCTTTAAAGATTGTTATTGATGATAAGATTGTTAATATTCACTACAGGAAAAACAATGAAAACCGGCGGTTTTTTCCGGCGGTTAGTGTAAGATTACCGGCGGTTTGACAAATTACCGGCGGTCTAACGGCGGTTTAGTGACCGCCGGTAAAAACGGCGTAGGAAACAAATTCCGACGGCCTTTTACCGGCGGTTTATTTTTGCGGCGGTTTTCCGGCGGCCCATACCGCCGGTGATCACCGGAATTTCAACCGTCGGTCTTTCGGCGGTTTGGCCGCCGGTAATGTAACCGCCGGAAAACCGCCGGTCAGAGTACCGGCGGTGTTCCGGCGGTTAAACCTGGCGTCGTCTGGTTCATTAGACCGCCGGACGGCGCCGTTAGACCGCCGGTAACTTACCGGCGGTTGACGGCGGTTATAGCCGTCGGTATTACCGACGGTTTAAACCGTCGTGCGTCCATCGTAATATTCGCAACCATATAACTAATCATTAAGATCATTTTTTGAAAGAAGTGTTGTATCTTGTGATTCTAGAATCAGCAGAAGATCCAAGTAATTACTTTTTTTTT